GAAAGTCACTGTATCTGATGATTCAAGACAAAGTCAGTCATTTCTTCAGTATTTACGTGTAATATTAGCTCACAAAATTTTGCTTGATTGGGTTTAGTGTTTCTATATACTTGGCACCAAGTACTTTTGTATTTTCTGTTTGCTATAAAGCCCAGCCGTATTTGTAAAACTTGACTACTTTGAAACACAATAAAATCGGAAATATTCAATATTTAGTCTCCATATAATAAAAAGAACATTACACGTTGGCTCGAAGATACGAATTTTATGTTCTCGTGGCAAGAACAATATCTTACTCGTTCGCTTCGCTCACTCGTGAGATATATATTGTTCTTGCCACTCGAACATAAAATTCATATCTTCTCGCCACCGTGTAATATCCTCTACATATACTCTACTCTAGCGTGCAGCGAACGAGAAGGAAGTAGTAACTTATAACGCGACAATAACAGTTCTTAAAACAACGTTTATATATCTCGCCTTTTTTGTTGAAATAACTTAATTCGACACCTCTTTCTGTTGTAAATCTTCTCTCATGTGCTGGCCGGGAAATCATATGCCCAAATAAGGCAAGTTTCCAGTGGAATCGACGGGTACAACGCTATTTTTTGTTACCAGTCTCCAGTCAACACTTCGCTGCACCAACCAGGCGAGAGCTTGGTGAGAATGAAGACCGGGGATGATCTGAAACTATTCATTCGGCCTTGGTAATCCACGCGCACTTTCACGAAATCTACGGGAAAAGGAGGAATAGAATAGGAAGAGATATCAATCATCGTGGTTTTGTATTATAGCCTTACTTGTTGTTTTTTAGTACGATAGTCACTTTGTTATTGATCGCGTCGCGACGTTCTGATCGCTTACTGCTTGTATTTAACACTAAGGTAAACGGCTCCCCTATATTTCAGTAGGATCGTCGGAATCGAGGGGGTTTGATAAATGTGGTTTTTAAAATAGGAGCTAGAAGAAGATTAGTGCATGGTTAAGCCTTCAGAGTGTTCAGTTGCATACGTTTTAAGTTAACGTTAATAATCCAATGTTATACTTGCAAATTGCTGGTAGAACTGCCTGTTTACTACCAATTTTCTATGTGTACATCTCAATAGCCCATGCTAACATCCGCTTTAGTCTACCCGCATATCCATCCTCAATCAGTGATTCTTAAGTTCCCATAAAATCCATTTTCCTGGTTTAAGATAACTGCTACTTTGGACTAGGCCTCATTGATCCGCGCGATCTGTGCGTTTCGGGTCACGTGGTACGAGCAAGCTTTGCACTGTTCGTCTCCGATACGTTCCCGAAGTGCGTTGAGAGGCCTGGAAAGACGCCGTACCGGGACTAGGCCTAACTAGTTCCCTATAAATGACGAGTGTGCTCAGCGTACCTTTCAAGGATTTGTGGATTTGTATCTTTACTTTCACGGGCCTTTAAGGGTGACGCGCCGAAAAATGACGTGAACTACAATCGAACCTCGTCCCCAGGGTCTTCTGTGCCGAAAAGATGAAAAGATGACAAGATCCTGGGGACGAGGTTGACTAGAGTCAACTTTCGCCTTGAGGAACCTTGCGAACACCTCGTGATAACAGCCCGATTATACGGACAGCATCTAAATCCCTGGCATAACTTACAGACAAAGGAGTTTCGGGTAGCTTTAAAGGGTGTTTTTGGAATTACTCGACAAGAACCCTCACCCAGTTTTTATAGGGGAAAATCCCACGGGCGTCTACGTAGCCGTCAGATGGGTGCAGTCACGGAGCTCTCGATTGTCAGGCAACGCCTCTGTATGCGCATTGCGCGACGACCTAAGTAACAGCAAAGAAGGAGATCGCGGTAGTTTAAGGCAGCAGCTACAGAAAATTCGTTTCATTTATTTATATCGGAGGAGAAACCGTTGCGGTCAAGGCTCCCGTTTGAAATTCAACGCTTAAATGGCAGACAGGCATTATTGGGGGCCCTCAAGCGGGGTTTGGTGCGCGAGCGTGAAGCGCAAGAGGAAGGAAAAGAGAAAAGTCCTTCCTCTCGCGTGTCTCGCGCTTCACGCACGCCCCTTAGCGCACTTCAAAACGCGGTCTATGAAGGCCATAGACGAAGAATAACGGTTATCTTAATTCATCATCTATCGTCGCGTATTAGTTCCAACTTATCACAACATCCCTTAACGATATCGGGATGTCTCAATGAGGTGGTAGCTTTGACGGTTGACGGTAATTTTTTTCCAATTTTGACGATTGACGGTTTTAAATATTAAGTGTTATATGCGTTATTGATCAAGCGTGAGGTCAAGATGGCCGAATATCAGCCATTTTATTTGGCCAAAAAGAGTTTTTTTCACTCGGGTTATGGTAGTAGCCCACAATCCGGAGCGAGCAACATCAATGCGCTCGACGCTCGTGTCCTGGCGTTTTCACGGACCAGTTTATTTTAGAACGGTTTTTGGCACGAATTTTGAATATCTTTTAAATTGCACAAACCTGTCAGCAAAACCGTGACCTACAGACCTAAAAATGATATTTTTTGCCTTTTAATAAGTTTAGTTTTCCTTTTTGATATCTTGTACTTCAAATGCGCTCATAGACATGGTGGAAATTCTATTTTCGCGGGAAAAAGTGCCCTAAAATGCGTCTAAAAATAAACTGGTCCGTAAAAAAGGCGGTGACGTAGGCCTAGTATGGGAGTTGCTCGCTCCTGATTATGGGCTCCTGATGAGGGTTATAATAATATTAATCTGTATTTTTGAAGGTTAACGCTTTAAAAGAACCTTTCTTGACGGTTGGCGATTAGCCCCTTTGAGACCATCATAAAGCCAACGAACTCCAACCAAAATTTGCGTTAAAACAGTGACACCGTCTGTAAATCAGATCTAGAAGTATCATCTCCATCTCCTAACCCAGGGGACCACTCGAAAAATGTTCAGTGCCCCCCTCCCCCCCGCCTCTCCATAGTGCTTGAATGCCAGTTCACTTACCGTACACTATTTAGAACCGGTTGAAGGGGGACCGTGAAAAGTGTTAGCACGGTGTTCGGCTCCTGCGGTGTCGTCGGGAGAAGAAATAGCCGAACCAGTGCCTAAAAACATGGCAAGAACCGCAAAAATACAACTCGACGGATGATAGTTGCTATTTGAAGAATATCTGCTAAACTAAATATCCCCATTTATTAAAAACTGAATCATTGGATGATGCTATTCTAGAGCTCTGATTGGCTTAGCGATCATGGTTTCTGAGCCATTATACCATGCTCTCCGAATATGGTAATTGTACGTGCCTGCTCAAAATTAAACACAAGCTGAAAATCGGTTGTTTTTACAAAAATAAAGTGGGAAGAGTTTTCGATATTTTGTGGGCGTTTTAAATAAAACAATTATTCCACTCGCACTTGTTGGATACGAGATGATTATGGCCAAAAAGGCGCCTAAAAGGCAACTAGGCGCTAAGCACCTCCTTGCCCTCTACCATCTCATATCCAACGCGCACTCGTGGAAAACAGTGAACTTCCTTCATAGCGGACATTGTAGTGTCCTCACTGGCGACAGTCCGCAATAGCGGGAGTTTATATCAGTCAAACGTCTGTAAATTGTTTTTGCCGGGGATTTAGCTGCTGTCCGTTTTAATCAGAGTGTCCGTTATAGCGGGGGGTCCGCAAGACAAGATTTGACGTTAATTGTTAAGTATCCTGAGTTTGAAGAGGAAAAGGCATGTGAAGACGATAAACTAACGTTCATCAAGGTATTAAAGAATGTTTAAGCATGTATATAGCGATATTAGTGTTGTTTTCGTATGATCTGACTCAGCACCTATTCTCCCCTCCCCCCTCCCCCCAATGCAAACTATTTATCCGAAAAATAATGTGTTTTAAGAACATGGCGACATGGATGTGGATATGACAACCGGGTAAGTAAACGGGTGTGACAGAGTGCGAACCCCCTATTTGAAAAATCCTAGCTACGCCCCTGACTACCTTATTATAGAAACCTTAACGCTTATTGAAATTAACGCGAATTTCACGTTAATTCATTTTGTAAACGTTAATGTCTGCGCCGTTAATTACGTGGAGCGTTAATTTCTGCCAACTTTACTGTTCCCATTCCAGAAACAGTGAAACTGTGAAGAACCCCCTAAGTGGCCTGATTTCTTCGCTTGACCCCTTGCGTACGTTCAGGGAACCACGAACAAAGTTTGCATTTCGGAATATACATTTAACTTTGTTCCCGCTGTCTCAACAAGTTTTGGTTCTTTGTGAACGTCGCGTTAATTGACTTTATTTTGAAATGTTACCCTCTTTTTTGCGTTCATTTCCTTCATTCGAAAGTCGTTTTCCACTAAAGTCGCGTTAATTTCCAATGCCTTAATTTCATTCACCATTTCACATAGACCATAATGCAGCTTTTTTACCCCCCCAAAATTTTGCATAACCATTGTCTTCGATTTCTCTTAGGCGGACTATAAAACAATTGGAAATAATCGATAGGCAAAATTTTGGGGTGTAACACAACAAGGTAGATAGTTCTGCTATCTTCAGTTATCACGAGATCATCTATTAAGCGCATGCAAGTCCCTCCGTTTAGATCCTTTGAAATAAAACGATCAACTTGAAGAAATATTTCTTTTTTTTGAAATGACTCCTTGGTTTAAACCTTTCATAGTTTTGAAGAAAAACCTTGCTCGGTGCAAGTAACAAAAGAATAAAAGAACTAACTGTAAACAATGTCTCGCTCATCAATTTCATTCTTGAGTTTCTGCAGCTGATACAGCGCCTCGCAAAAGGACTTTTGGTCTTCCACGTTTATATGAACGTCAGGACCAACAGGGTGATTAATACCAGATTTCCACCTTAATTCTGGGGAACTCCTCAAACAGATCCCCTTGGGGCATATTCCATAACATGACGCTAACATCCCCGTACTATTGCCAAAGATCCAAATACTTCCAAGTTCGTGCAACATGCCTGTTAATTCTTCGTCTTCATCATCATTAGAGTCAAATTTATATGGTCGACGGAGTTTGTAATGTCAAATTTTAATGTAGTCTGCATCTTATAGACAGTGAAGCTTCTCCAACAGAAATGTTTTAGCAAAGTATTTATTTTGTCCTCCTTAACATGCCTGTCACAGATGCAACATTGGTGACAATTTTTGCGATGTCTGTTTACTCAACATATGCTTATTTGCCAGCATATATTCACAATGTCCTCGTCTACCTTGGTAACACTAAAGGATAGTCACCTGGATATCACCATGGTGACAGATGCTTGCTTACAAGTCATTGTTTACAATTCTTTGGAACAGCTTAAAATCTTAAAAACCGCCATCAAGTTTTTGACTCTATACAAGACGAGAATCAACTGCAATGCTGAGCACAACTAAAGCAGAATGGTGAACATGTTAACAGTTTAATCACGAAATACTTATTCCTTATTTGCTTTTAACAGTGTACTGTTTAAGCTATATAATCCAATTATTGCATAGAAAACCCATAGATATTTAGTTAGCAAAAACTACAGAACAAACAACCAATGATCTACCATGTCATAATTTATACAGAATACTTCCTTTTTCATATGCAGATACATGTAAACTCAAGCTAGAATCAGTTCTTCCATATTGTTCTCGTCACTGACAGAAAATTGTTTGACAACTAGTAGGTAGGTGATGAGTTGTGCTATAATTAGGTTTATATTTTGAAATTAGAATCATAAATCACAAACATATGCTTCTACATCTACATCTACATCTACATAATTTATTTGCAAAATCGTATAAGGACGTCTAACAAATTCGAGTGCAAAGTGCAGGAATAAAATTGAATAAATAAATATGTGCAAAAAAGGTAATAAATAATTGTGGTATAGTACTGATGACATAATTAACAATCAGTTAATAATTGAGTTGATAAAACTAAAACTAAAACTTAAGCTTCAGGGTATTAAAGAGTTATTCCCAAGATCAGTAAGGCAAAAGGCTACAAGTTCGCCCACTATTTTCCGTCTTCACTGCCAAGGGTATATCTCCAAATTCTCTTCACCCTAGTTAAATAGGACATTTAGACATTCATCTAAAACATTCTAAGGCATTGGCTTGGGATAGGATATTACGGGAAATCTCTTTAAGACGGCATCAAAGTTCAGAAAATTTCATGGTAAGCCGGCGGTAGTTTTATTTATATCACAAGGGGCAAAATAAGCAAACTTCACAGCATAACCAAAACACTAGGGAAGCGAGGGAGGGAGGCTCACATCTTCCCTTCCCGTCTGCCCCTGATCAATTAATTTCTTTGGAAGTTGTTGGCATGGTAACAGGTAGCAATGTTGAGGCCTTCCAAAGGGTAGAAGCGAAAGGCAACACGGCACCAAAAACTGGGGACAGTCCTCTCAGAAAGCACCAACAATCGACAGAAAAGAAGGAATCAATTGTGACAGCGACAATCCATTTTTAAGAAGAGAAAGCGGCATCTGTTCACATTGCATTTCGGCTGTTTCGGCAGCGAAATACAAAATTCTTTTCCGTCATTTCCAAACTTTCTTTGTAACGTTATCTACGTATGGTATTGTTCAAGAACGGTCATTTCAGGGAGCAAGGTTAATAACAATTTTAAAATTCTTTCCAGGCTCTATATTTGCCTTAAATTCCTATACTGAGTATCAAAAATTTATGCTGTAGCAGCAGCGACATTTTGTTACTAGCTAAAACGCGACAGGGACTTTATTCCTAACTTTCTAGGCGAAATGACCGACAAAGGCGATAGCATACCCTCGCCCCCTCTCCCCCCCTGCCCCCCTTAATGTAACCGTTAACAGCTACCATCATCTTGGCTACTACTCCAAAGAGGATCTGTTAGTTCATCGATAGATGGTGGGTCACTAATGTTATCCTTTCGAAAGCGTCGGGCAATTTTCTTGACAATATAAATAATCAAACGGAATGTTTGCGACAAAATAGCTAAAGCAGCTAGCAAGGACAAGAATGCAGGAACAAGTCCCATTGCAGCTAATTCGAACCACTGAAGTCCCTCCAGGAAATCCTTGTTTGTTCCCTTGGCACTTATTCCGGAAGACAGGAGAGTGGCCTTTACCAGGCTGATTTTGGCGATGATTGCCAAGGTGACTAAGGACATTGTTTCGGCTTTGTTAGCGGTTTTACTCCGGAATGGGGCCTTGATTATGTGTTGGATGGCCATGAAGTCGCATGCGCTAGCCATGAAGAAAAGTCGGATCATAGCGTTATGGATGAACGAGTGAAATGTAAGAAGGACGAGCCGTCGACCAATCATAACGCTCTCCCAGTAATGAGTGCCTTCACCTCGATCATTAGGAGCGCGAAATGGCTCGTCTAGGACCTTCATTACTTCAGCGCTATTGTTCAGCCTTGCTGCAGCTTCTTCGCTACCATTTTCTTCATTTCTTCTCTTGAACACGTGCTTGAATAGCCAATAGATTAGAAATGGCAAAGGAATAACACAGGCTGCGAGAAATTCACCTGAAGAAATGGAAGAACTGTGCAGCTTTGAAGAACCGAAGTACAGGACTGCGATAAAGGGTACCACAAACACGATTATGTACCCAAGAAGGATGTATTGCCACGGCTGCCAACAGATCGTGGTACCATCAATGAAAAGTCGATGCTCATCCCCAGTACTCACACAGTGCATCAGTGCCAACGAAGTTTCAGCCAGTCTATCGTATCCTAGCAACAATATCTCCAAGAAGACGGCCATATAACGGCTCAACGATGGCTTTCTCAACTTCTTATGGTATCTGCTGATAACCAAGTGGGCGCAGAAAATGAGGGCGAGGTTCGCCATTGTTGCGACCACCACCAAAGAAAGAAGCAGTTCTTTGGTGGCTGGGGTTAGTCCCGGAAATGGACAATCGATTCTTAGATAAGAAGCGCGGACTTCAAAATTGAACGCTGAAATCAGAGCAACAACGAGGGGCATTTCGTCAAGAGAATTGCTTAACAGCAAATCGGCGACTTGGTAGTAATAGAAGGCGATTTTTGTATAACCACTGTCTCGCTCTTCGCAGTTTTCACTGCTCTCTTCGCTTTGTCTTCTCATGAACCATAAAATTTGTTGTGGACTGAGAAGTCGAAGCAAAGGAGGATCAATTAGCAGATATAGCGCCAAGGCAGCCGAGAAGAGAATTATCGCTACCCAGAAGAGGTAATCTTTACATTGAGCTGTTTTTCTGCACTCAGAATTAAATAGTGATTCAGTGTAACCAGGCGCACACTGGCCACACAGAAAACCAGTCCTGTTTCCGTGACAACTGTTGTACACTAACGATTGCGGGCTCGGTGAGCGGCAATAACCCTTGGGGCAGGGAACAAAGTTGAGTACTTGTGCATCGCTTTCCGACACATTGTATCCCCAGAAGTTTTCTACTGCCGCGATGCTTGATTCGTTTCTTATGCATGTAGCTCCCAAAGGACATGGATGACACTGGAATGAATCATCTACAGCAAGACCTTTTGAAAAGCCAGTTTGTAGGCTGTAATATCCGGGAGAGCAAAGCTTACAGGAAAACGAAAGGACCGTCACGTTTTCTATGCACAAGCGTTGTCTTTTTTCGGTGTATACAAAACGTGTTGCATTTGCGAGGGACATCTGACTTCCTTCGCAGCGAATGCTAGTTTCGCGGTCGATATCAACGTATCCTCCGTTGTAAACTGCCAACACAGAAAACGAACGCCTTGTAGAGGTGCTCGAAAACATAGACGAGTTCCGAAACTTGATGGGTCCTCCGCTTTCAGAATAAAAGAAGGCAACATTTTTGAATTTCCTGCCAGAGATAGTTGCATGGTACGTGCTACTAACAAAAGAGCAGTTGACGAATTCTACTCGACCAGTTCCATAGGCGGAATAAACTTGACCTGTGTTCATTGCTGCCAAATTGTTTTCAAATGAACAATTCCGAAAAGTAGTGTTTCCGTTACTAAGATACACTGCACCCCCATTGAGCCCAGTGTTCTCTTGAAATAACGTATCTTCAACAGTCACGTGAGTGTCGTATCTCCATAAAGGGTGAGTGTTGTTGGTTATGTTTCGTTGGACACACCCTGTTTTGTAGCGTTTGTCCAGGTTGGAGAGAATCGAAATAGCACCTGTTGCCGTCTCATAAGCAAACTTACTATCACCATAGTTCCACAGCTCTTGGTTAACAGACGTGCAGTGGCGAAAAGTCGACCGGCGTATGGTTACATACTTCTTTCCTTGGAAATAAAGGGCGAAACAGCTGGCAGGACGAGCATCAAAAATCACTTTGTCTATTTTTACTGTGGCTCTCGATGTTTTGGTTTTGTTCCCCACTGCGGGCATATAGAATCGAATCGCGTGACCGTTTGACTGGCCGATGAAATTCGTGTTGTTCACTGTGAACGATGCTGACCGAGCCTCTCTTACAGTTATAGACACATCGTAGACATTGCCTTTAAAAGTGCAGTTTTCAATTAGGATTTCGACAGGCTTCAAAGGAAGTTCGCTGGGAAGCAACCATTCATTGGATGTCTGTAATCCGTGTCTGCAATACGCGATGGTCACGTTCTTGAGCAAAATTTCGTATTTTGGGTTGATTATCAACGCTATATTTTGATTATTGTACATAGAAGTGTTGGCTAGCAAGACCTTTCCTCTGTGTTTTTTCAGCGCTTCGATTCTCACGAAAACACTTCCATTGTAATGACTGTCGGTGAAATTAGACTTCAAAATTGAAACATTTGTCTTCCAAGTACCAGTACTTGCTACGAATATACCTCCAGAGACCTTTGAAACAGTGTTTTCCCAGTGAAAACGTTTAAATTCCACGAACCCACTTTTCAACATAACACCAATACTGCTGTGTGAACAGGCACAGTTTTTGACGCGGACGTTTCTGAAATGCGCGTACAAAACATAGTTTATCGGTTTAGCTATGAGACTGTGAGTTTTCCCAACCAGAACCGCAGAGCCCTGGGTTCCGGATTCACATTCAGAAAAATTTACGTTAGTGAGTTCAAGCCTTAGATTTCCTTTTACGCTGTTGAAAGAAATCGCACCGCCCCCAGAATATGCCTTGTTTCGCTCAAAAGTAGTGTTTTTAACAACCAAGGAAGCACTGCCTTTGCATTCAATACTCAAGGCTCCACCCTTTCCTGTCGTCACAGTTTGCCCGACAAATGAAGAGTTCTCTATAGTCACGTCAGCCTTGCTGGAAGAAATCTTAATGCACCTTAATGCCAAATCATTGCTGTTGTTACCGCAGAGAAAGTGATGAAATCTTGTATCAGTTTTTCTTACTTGGGATATGTACATGCTATCCATATAGCGCCTGGCACTGTTTGTTTTGGTAGATGACCTCAAGTTATTGTTTAATAGTTTTACATGGCTGTATACTTCCTTTGTGTTAGCTGTCGGTACAACTAGCAGCATGAAAGGAGCCTTGTTTTCGACGCTTGTGACTTTGTTTACTGAAATATCAGTTCGTACTGATGAATTGGATTTAATGTTGGTTCGTATGGAAATCACAGCTCTAGTTGACTGATTAGATTGAAGGCCATTCTCTTGAAATATGGTGTTGTTCACGCCAAGCGTGAGGGAAACTCCCCTTTTGTTACTTATCCAGACTTCAATGCACCGTTGGTTGTTCAGAAACAGAGATGGTCCCTGTATGTTTAAGAAGACAGTTGGAATATTTTGCGTCAGAACGCTGACGGCTGCTCTTTTCCCGGCGTTCTTGAAAGAGCAGTTTATAAGCTGAACGCTGTTACAATCATCAAAGACAAGCGGCGCGTGCTCGAATGCAATCCCAGACAAGATAATTTTCATTCGTACTTTATCTTTATGAAAGCGAAATCCGTTTTCACAGTTAACATGTGGAGTAGAATCGAGGCGTTCTATGGACATACTTTTATCAATAGAAATTCCCCAACTTTGATCATTCGCCAGTCTACTCTTACAGTCAAAGGGCTGATCGTTCGTTCCAGAACCATCAAGATGAATTCGCCCGTTGTTTTCAACCTGTTGAACCGCTTTTGGTATGGACCGGCATGGTTCATTCTGTGGGCCACAGTTGTCGATATCTTGACCATGGATGGAAACATAGACATCTGTACGGCTGCCTTCTTCTACTCCTTGGTTTCATAAATGTAAAAGAATTAAAATAATTGAGAAATGATTTTACAGGGGCAAACAACGACGATTTCCTCCTAAATACACTTTTTAGGCTATCCAGAGTACATGTAGATCTCTAAAAATGCATTCTAAGCGGGGCTATAAAATTTGTATCTGTTCGGTCATCGTAGAACAACTTGAGTCTTTTCGAAATTAAAAGGGCTCAGTTGCATCTTTTCTCCGAAAATTTTAGAAACAATTTAACGTATTACGATATTGAGAATTTCCGTCTAATTCCTCTGTTCATTACATTTTTGGATCCGAAAATGTCAAATTTCCTTTTTTCTACGAAAAATGTCTTAGTCTGGGGGGTTAAATGAAAAATTACACTTTAGAAAATGGTGGGAAATTTATTGGACAGAGGGCACCCAACGACGGTTTCCTCCTAAATGCATTGAAACACTTTTTAGTCTAGCCAAAGTACTTTTAAATCTTTAGAAATAAATTCTTATCGGCGCCATAAAATTTATATCTGTTCGGTCTGAATCCTATGGCAACTTGAGTCTTTTCGAACTTACCAGGGCTTCAGTATTATTGTCCCGAAAATCTTTGATGCAATCGAAAGTTTTACGAAAGCGAGAATTTTTCTGATTCCTCTTTCCATCACATTTTCGAATCCGAAAATTTTAGGTTTGCTTTTTCTGTGAAAAACAGCTCAATCCGAGGGAGTGAAATGCAAAAATTAAACTTTAGCAAATCGTGGGAAATTTAGTAGGTAAGCTTCGAAAATTGTACATGAATGGAACGGTTATCTAGAAATTCTTAGCCTTCCTCAAGGTATAGAAAATTCTACGCAATTTTTGCTTCTGTGAACAGATATTTTACAGAAAACAGCCGTTGGGTGCCCCTGATTAGATAGGCTTCGAAAATTGTGCATGAAGGGAAAGGTCATCTAGAAATTTCTAGCTATCCTCAAGGACCTCAATATTAAGTAATAGGCAATTGTAGGCAACATTTGTATCTAGGATGCCCCTGATTCTATAGGAAAATTCATTACCTGACTCGTGAATTCCACGTTAAATTGCACGCGAAAACCGATATCGAGAGCGATGAGTGCGATATCGGTTTTCAAGTGCAATTTAACGTGGAATTCACGAGTCAGGTAATGGTTTTTCCTTGAATCGCATAACTGAATAAAAATCAGAAAAAAAAGGAACAAGGCAATAATATTGTTTATTTTTATCTTGAGCGCGCGCTCCAGAAAGCCATTTCAAAGTTAACTGTCACAACTGTCATTGCGTTAGCGAATAGGAAGCAAGGTCAGTCGTACACGTTTGACCCTTCGACAACTTTTTTTGTACCTTGTGCTTGTTTTTAGATTTGTTTTCAAACTTTTTTACATGTAAACAAGCTTCACACTAATCGTAACGATAAATAGAGGTATTTCACTTAATTTACAGGCCGTTTATCTATAACATCTTTTTCAAATTGGTCATTTGCTCGAGAAGGAAAATAATTTACACCTTTTACCTCTTCGGCGGCAAAACTGAAAGAAATGAAGTGTCCAAGCGAAAGCACTGAAAATTTAACGTCGCTATTGATATCTGGTATAAGTACCTTGAAATGTTTTGGAAATGCTGTTCAAGTTCAGCTCTGTTTTGTACTTTTCTAAGTATCACGATTCAGGACGATTGCAAGCGGCGTACTCTTTTTCGTGTTTTCACTGAGGGGCCATGTCGTCTTTGAAGGTATTTATTTCTTCTCCTGTATATATATGTGACAATCGACCCCGGCACTTCCTCCGTTGTCGCTTCTCCGTTTTGTTTGGTTGAACTTTGGCTTGCCATTTTCTAGGCCGTGATCACAAGATTTTCTAGTTTTCTCGTTTTCTCGAGGGAAAGAGGTTTTTTATGCCTCTTCGAGAATTTGTAGTTCAGTTCAAAACAAGGAAGAACCTCCGGCTCACTATAAAAAACGCTTTTGTTTGTTTTTAACTCTTCAGAAGGTGACAATGGTTTTGAGAACATTTTAAAATGACACGTAGAAAACCTTTTTTGCAGTTGTTGTGTTAGAATTTGACGATAGTTGTTACGTAGATGCGAAACAATATTGCTTAGCCTCGTTTTCAACTCGCAATTCCACACTAAATACCTCGCTTCGTTAACCAATCAGAATGCGAGATTTTACTCAATTATGCGATTCTAGCGGTTATAAACTCAAGGTATGCTGTTTCAACATAGCCCAGGTATACTGTAATGGTCAAATCAGCGCCCGGCACTCCTTTTAAGTAGCCTGTATACAGACGCCTCCCGCTGAGGTTCTGAATCGAGGGTGTGTACTTCATGTAAAACACCGTATAATGTCCCGGACCACACCCATGTACCACATCCATGTTGTGAACACTACTGAATGACACCACAATCGAAAACTACATAAGTGTATGTAGCTGTAATTAGTTTAGTAGTTGTAGTAAGTGTAGTATCTGTAGTAGCTGTAGTAGCTGTAGTACCTGTAGTAGCTTTAGTAAGTGTAGTAGCTGTATGTAGTTAGCGTAGTAAGTGTAGTAGCTGTAGTAAGTGTAGTTAGTAGTAGCTGTACTAAGTGTAGTTAGTAGTAGCTGTAGTAAGTGTAGTAGCTGCAGTAGCTGTAGTAAGTGCAGTACCTGTAGCAGCTGTATGTAGTTAGTGTAGTAAGTGCAGTAGCTGTAGTAGCTGTAGTAAGTGTAATAGTTGTAGTAAGTGTAGTATCTGTAGTAGCTGTAGTAAGTGTGGATCATTATCAGCAGCTGGCCATAGGGTGTTATATAAATTTAATAAATAAAAATACATAACTACGTAAATTTATATAACAAGGTAAAAATATTTATCAGCGACTGGCACAATGAAAACAAACAGCATTATATAATTTTTATAATAAAAATACATAACTTTAAATTAAAATAAATCGTTCTAAATCTATATAGTTAAATCGATTTAAGACATAGTCGTTAAATCGATTTAAGCTTAAATCGATTTAAGACTTAGTCGTTAAATCGATATAAGCTTAAATCGTTTTAAGACTTAGTCGTTAAATCTATTTAAGCTTAAATCGTTTTAAGACTTAGTCGTTAAATCTATTTAAGCTTAAATCGATTTAAGACTTAGTCCTTTATTTCTTAAATCGATATAAGCTTAAATCGATTTAAGACTTGGTCGTAAAATCTATTTTTTCTTAAATCGATATAAGCTTAAATCGTTTTAAGACTTAGTCGTTAAATCTATTTTTTCTTAAATCGATTTAAGCTTAAATCGTTTTAAGACTTAGTCGTTAAATCGATTTAAGCTTAAATCGATATAAGACTTAGTCGTTAAATCGATTTAAGCTTAAATCGATATAAGACTTAGTCGTTAAATCTATATAAGCTTAAATCGATATAAGCTTAAATAGTTTTAAGACTTATTTAGTTAAATTAAGCTTTAATCGATTTAAGATTTCGTTGAATTTGGTTAAATTTAGTTTTGATTTAAGGCTTAGTATATTTATAGTTAAATCGATTTCGCTACTGCCGGTTTTCAGTCAAATTGGTCGATTGTAAGTCTATTTAAATAAGTTGATTTATGGAGTCGATATGATCAATAAGACTGGGTAGTAAATTAATTTTTAAATAGAATAATATTTATCGCTGTATTAAGACATTTTGAATAATTACGTCCCCTTGACATTGTGACTTCTAATTATGACTCTGTTTTATTGGTCTCAAAGTACTTCTTTCGGAATACTACTTTTACCACTCCGAAAAATATATGTGGACGAAAACTAAACTTATCTCTATTTAAAAGTCTAAAAGTTATAGAAGACTTATAAAATGGCACTTTTACACTCAGTGCATAATACAGATGAAAACCAAAGGCCAACTCTCTTATAACTATTGAAATCTGGGATCTGCTAAATGTATAAAGGACTGTCTTTTCATATCTCGTTCACTTTGATTCCACCCCTATTAATATCTGCCTTTTTTGCGAGAAACTGGTTTGAATTAATTATCACAAAGAAGTTCAAAGAACGCAATTGCACTGCCGTTGTCTAATAATTACGCCCAACGAGCAATGTGCCTGGAATGTACATTTATTCGTATTGTTTTCTTCACTTGCACATTTTAGGCAACACCAGAACTTTGAACGCAAAACTTTGATCTTGCAGACATTCCTTTGTGGTTTATTTCTTTCAAGCTCACTTGAGGAGGGGCTTAATAGAGACAGGAGGAGGGGGGGATTATTTAATTTAGATAAGAAGATGGTATCTATTCTCCAAAGGGACTAGACCACAAAGTAGAACAACTCAAGTAAAAGAAAGTTGGAGGTTAGGGTTAGAGATATTGATAATGTCAGCCCATGTCGGTAGTCGGTTAATATTTTTCCTGTCGGTAATCAATAATTTTTTACTCGTTTTGTCGGTAGTCGGTAATATTTTTCGCCCTTTGTCGTCAGTCGATTAACCCCATTCACACCCTCTTGTGAAATCCATGCCCGGGGAAGTGGGGGCGGGGGGTACCTCCTCATAAGACGTTAGTGGGAACGTTCCGCTGGATGGGATCACATTTTCACGACTGGATTGACTATAATGGGGGTCACATTTTCAATAGAGTTACTAGGATGGGGTCGCACATTTTCGGATTTTTGGGGTAAGACAGTTAGCAAACGTACCAGCATGTTTGTACTGTAGGTGAAAAGTAAAGTGTTCTTCATTCAATAAGAAAAAAAATGGGTCAGGTCTTCTCCCCGGGCCTTAATGTTTCAACCAAGTCGTGAAGAACAACACGGTTTGAAAATAATACAGGGACATTCAACGACTGTAAAATATATGTTCGAAGGAGTCAAAATTGCCTAGAATTGTCTTCAAAACTACCTGTGCCAAACTGAATGCAAATAGTTAATAAATGTAACAAGCCCGTCCTTTCAATGATAATAGCTTGATTTCTTAGTTTTCGCGCCTCGCGCTCAATCTAAGTGCGTTTTAAAAAATGTTACGACTGAAAACAGAAATCTATGAAATCAGTGTAGTGAAGAAGCAATAAAGAATACTACGTTGAGTAAACTTTACTAGTGTTAAGGTGTCCAGGCGGTTTTGGCCGATAGGATCTAATGCTTTAGACCGGAATCCTCTTCGTTATTTCTTTCATATTTTAATTCAATGATTTTACAGTCGGGAATATATATATATATATTTTTGCCAATATTTCGTTAAGTTAAGCTAAGACGTTACCATTTGAAATGAAGAATAGCGTGCAATTTGATAACACGTGAAATATGAAATGAGAAAAAAGTGAACATTCACAACCAAAACCGTTGAAGTAGTGATTGGAAAGAAATTTGAAATGTAAAAATAGTATACGAAAATGATAACAAGTAGAAGAAATGCAGACTGTAGTACATTTCATCTTTCTCATTCATACCTCAAGGTTCAAGAGTTTTACCTCTTTTACCTCTGTCGATGAGGTACGCTTCTCTACCTTTTTGTACACTGTCTCTATTAGATTTAATGAGCTCTAGTGGGATAAGTGTGACGTCGTTAGCAGGAAGATCGATCATTAGTAAGAAAGTGTCCTGAGACTGTGGTGGGTTTAGAGATAATAGATGGGTTTTCAACTGGTCTGCGGTGTTCATCGTTGAAGCGGTCTTTAAGTCGTCGTGTATTGTTTGGAGCAGTGGTTGCCGTGTATCACGTAAATGACGTTTTTGGAGTTACAGTCAATGTGATTAGTGATAGGTCTGGTTTCGCCTGTAGCGTGGAATGTGTATGACGTTTGTCGTTCAGATATGTTTTTACAAGTGCTACGGTTTTTTCCGCATGGGTATCAGCCCCGGGGCTGGTTGAGTTGTGTGAAATTTCGAAGTTTGGCCCTAACTACAAAATCACTGAGGTTACTACTACGTCTATAAGCTACAATGGGTGCAGCTTTAAAGACGTTATAGCAACGGGGGGGATGAAATAAGGATTTGAAAGTGTTTGCGAATAATGAAAGAGATGAAACGAAGGGTTGGGTTGTAGGTGATAACAAAGGGAACACTTTCTTGTTTGTCCAGTGTACAAGTGTCATGGGGCGTAAGTGCTTCTGTCCGTGTGATATTGTTAACTTGCTGTATTTCCCGTTGAAGGAAATAGAGGTTATAAACACATTTGTTAAGATAGTAAATAATTTCATTGGTACGTAGTGTGAAGGTCTCGTTGGTTTAACAAATGTGGCGGAGTCTAAGAGCTAGACTGAAAGAAATAGCACGTTCAGGTGTGTATGGGATGACATGACGAATGTAGTAAGTATTCGTTTTTGTCTGTAGGTTTGGTGTAAAGGTTAGTGACGATTGTGCCATTGTCAAGTGAGACGTTGACATCGAGAAAGGGTATGGATGTGAAGGAATAGTCGTATGTGAATTTTATGGTGGGGTGAATGTAATTGAGAAGGGAAGTATCACGTCCATATCATGAAGATGTCGTCTATATAACGCCACCATATGAAGGGCTGGAGAGGGGCACGTGATAAGGCATCCGTGTCGAATTTGGCGAGGAAAAGGTTGGCGTATGACGGAGCTATCACTGTCCCCATAGCGGTACCATGTGTCTATAAGTAATGTTTGTCATTGCAAGAGAAGTTGTTCATATTGAGAATCATGCGTATCAGGTCGCAAAGTGTTTAACCAGCCAGGGCTAAAAGCGAAGCTCTCGATAATATATATAATTCGTTCAAACAAAATATAAAATCGTGTAATGCTAAGGCAACGAGAACGGCGAAAAAACGATAGGTCTAATTAGCAAAAAAAGCAACCTTGCACGTGCAGCACACTTTTTTGTACATTTCTTTGCCGTTGTCGTGCACGACTGCAAGAAAACTCCTAAGTTACACGTTTTATCGAGGAAATGTCGTACTTGTTCTCGTTCACTATTTTTCACTACCGCTCTTTTTCACCTTGCATTGGTGGCCGCTAGCATTTCTCATTTTGTCACCTCCGCTACAAAATTCTAGGGAAAAATGTCTTTTTTATCTCTCACTCTACAGCTCTGACCCCCTTTTTCTCGTAGAGTTTCGCTGGCCTGCCGCCCACTTTCTTTTTTTCTCTGTCTTTCTCTTGTTCGATATTCCAAATTTGTGGACAAGATAATTACTCTAAGCTTAAAGCTCTAAGCACCCCTTCTGCCCACCCCTTGACTCCGCCTTGTTTTGCATGAATTTTGCAATGTTAGTTTGTTTCGATAAAGTTTTTCAAAGGCCATACCGATATTTTTCAATCGCCTTAAAAGTGCTTTTTCCTTGTCCGATCGCTATAAAATTTACACGAGTAATTGGCTATGGATTGAAATTCTGAATGAAGTGGGTAGGCAGAAGGGGGCGCGGCAATAACCCCTTTCTCTTTGAATTCTGTATTATTCTTGTAGAATTCTCAGAAAAATAAAATGTATCTATATAGCTCATGCGGCAAGTGGGCCGTAAAAAGAGAAAACTAAGCATAATTTCATTTTAGTTTAATGAGAGCAATCACGACAAAGTTTCACAAGACTGAAATGCTATAATTAGAGATGTTAAAGTGAAAGTATTAGTCTTTGTGTTCGGGAATTGCATGGTTGACAAACATTCGATAAGCTAGAGTTTTCACTTGTCGATAGCTAGTTCGGTTGATTCGAATCCTTCTGTATCTTTAAGAACTTTTTGGGAGTCCCATTACTTTTCGGAAGATAGTCTTTCTTCATATCTCACATCTATTGCATATACTATATAAAAGAGCACCACTCCGGAGCTCACGCGAACCTAGCGAATCTCCGTTCTCTTTGTATTTATTAATCAAAAAGTTGAGCTGCACCTGGAGGAGTTTCTGAACTTCATTTTAAAGAAGGCGGTACCAAGGATCCTCTTGTATTTGTTTCTCACAAGTTTTGCCGGATGCTGACGATGTAGTTTTGAGTTTGCCGCTAAAACTGCTACTGAGTTAGAAGCAAATTGTCTTAACCCTGATATCAACCATACTTCTTCGTGGATGCAAGAAAACAAGAACGAGAAGTCCAAAGACTACTGCAAAGCTGATTTAAAACAACGTGTATTAAGAAAACAAGCTATTTCTGAAAATGAGCAAGACGGAATATGTTATTTATAGTGCATACCAACGGCTCAAGAGGTAAGATAGTATAAGCTTATCCTACAACGGATCTTCTGTGACTGCACCCGACTCTTTCAAATATGTTGGCGTCGTGATTGATCAGCACTTGAACTTTACCAACAACATTGCGCACGTAGTCAACAACGTTTTATTCAAGAAAATTGGGTGTTCTTAGGCCTTTGAGAATCTCTATTCCCATGGTTGCAGCTGAACGCCTCGACAAGAAGATGATTTCACCCATTTTTGATTACTGTGAGGTGGCCTGGCACGGGTGTGGAAAAGTTAACCCTGATGCTCTCGAGAGTTTACAGCATAGAGCCGCGAAGTTAATTTTTGGAAATTCTGGTCTCGATACTACACTGGAACTGAATGAAACCTTCGGTTTAGTGCCTTGGTTAATAGGCGTAACTCACATTGTTTTGTTAACAAGAAAAATGCCTTCACGGTTCAGTTCCACCCTATTTGAATAACTATTTTAATTTAAATGCTTCTGTACACTCCGTAACATCTAGACGCTACAATGATATTCATATACCGAAAGTGAAGCAAGCGGTCGCAAAAAGATCGTTTTATTTTACAGGTGCGACGGAAAGTTACAGCCCAACTACTTTTATCAAACCAAAGAAATCCTTCCTTGACTTCTCACTCCTGCAAGGGAAACTAAAGATCTTTTTCTTAATTATTTAATGAATTTTTTAATCTGTTTTAACTGCATATATTTTTTATCTATATATATCAGCCGTGCGCAGTTTTCTTAGTCTTTTTGTTCAATCTCTTTTGTCTCTTGTTTAGAATAATCCGTTTCGTGAGAGACTTAACTTTCTCGGGTCGCTTTCTTCACTATCATAGAGTCGATACTCCCATTAGCTTGTTGAAGGTATTCATCATATCCGACAATTTATGTTGTACGAGTTGTGGATAAAACATAGAGTGCTTTGATCGGGAGAGAACGCCAGTTTAGACGCGAGAAAGGGTTGAGGAGTAATTTTGATGAGCGACTTTTAAAATGTAACTTCCGTGTATTTAATAAGCGGAATAAGCAACGTTAAAGTTATACGGCACACTTAATTTGTCGAAGCTAATGCCCCCCTTTTTTGTGCTACCGGAAGGTGGTTTTTGGCTTTAATAACATAACCCACTCAATACGAGGGGTACAGAATGGTAGTTTCGAGACCTGGCGAGACCTCGGTTTCAGAATTCAAGACCCACGTTTTTTTCCAGGGACCATTCTAACTGCAATCGACTCTAAGGAAATGAGGAGAGCATAACAAAACAAATATGTGACATAGAGTAATTCGGATGCACTCATTTCAGAAAAAAAAAAAACTAGACTAATGGCTTCACGAAACCGCTATTTTCTTGTAACTCAGCAGCGTCAATTGCTAGAACCGACCCTTGAGACCAAATACGGCTTCATTCAAGGCAAAAAATTTAGATGTTGCTTCAGCACAAATTGAAACCGAAATGTCCACAAAACGATGAATCTCAAATAGGCTGGAACTGAAACACATGAAATTTCTTACAAACATTTTGGGGATTTTAAGAGCGCCAGATACTCGCGAGGAAAATTTTTAGATCAAATTAAACATTTTCCAGTTTGATAACCGATGTGACAATGGGCGGAAGAGCCATAATAACAAATGATCCACCCTTTTTACGCGGATCGGGCGCTAATATTTCGCGTGCATTTCACTTTTGCGTCATGCCCACCCGATCTTAGAGCCTTTAAGAGAAAAGCAGAGGCGGACAGCAAGCAGAAAAAAAAAATCATGGCCATTCAATAACATGATAACAGAATGGGTAGCAAATTTCCCAATGGTCACTTGGGAGTAAAAGCCCTTTGTTTTAAGAAATATGATCAGCTTCCGATTTTAGCGTCACTCAGTGAATCATCGCACATCTAATATCTGAGACGCTTCTACTACGCCTACTACTTTACGAGAGTAAACGATTGCGCTGAACGATGAGCTTCTCTCTACCAGGAACTGACCTATTCGATCTTATCGGTTATAGCGAGGAACTTCCCCAAGAGTATCTTTGTAATGTGTGGTAAGTAATTGACAATTTAGTTACTTTTGAAATCACATTGTAATCATTTCGCACGCATTGCAGAGCTCTGTCCTTGGTATCCATTTGGAATTTAACTTTTGTGATGCGAGAGAATTTTTTTCGTTCGCAATGATATTAGATGATCGCAGCATTCTAAAGTGTATGTTAATTCTGCTTTGTTAGCAAGAAGCCTCTACTCGACGCACAAATAGCCACGCCATGTGGTCACACGTTTTGCGGCGAATGCGTTTACCGATTCCAGCAAACATCCCGTGCCATTCAGTGTGCGATGTGCCGCCAAGTGGTGATCGCCTTTTGCAAAAATATTTTTGCAAGCAATCTAATCACTGCAATTGATGGTGAATGCCTAGCCTGCAAGGGAAGGATCAAACTGGACGCTGCCAAAGACCATCTAGGGCGATGTTCAGAAGTTGAAGTGGTGTGCCTTCTCTGCAGTGAAAAACTGCAGAGAAAACACCAAGATGGCTACGATTGCCCCATGCGGGAAATAATCTGCAACTGTGGCGAAAAGTTCAACAAAAAGACGAGGAACACCACCAGCATCTTTGCAGTTTTAAACAGATACAATGCCCATTCGATTGCGGCGAATTGGTAGAAAGGTACGTTAAAAGTGTATGTGACAGAAATTTTTTGTTTGCTCTATAGAATCTGTACAGTGTATTGATAAGGAAAGCAAAAATAATATTTCGATAGCGATTTTTCTTCATCGTGTTTTAACCTACCAAAAGAGTGAAATTTCAATTCCGGTGGGCTACAAAACCGCGCGGGTGAGAATAGAAGACTAAGATTTATTGTTATGTCTTTTCAGGACATTCTGTACAGATTCTATCAAGCAAATACAATAGTTTATGTAATATATACACCTCTGGGCTAGTATGCCGTCAGTTTGTCGTCATTGGAGTTTTGGCGAGAAAAGATCGTTTCAACTGAAAAATGTCGACGATAGACGAAATTGGAATTAGCAGAGGAGGGCTCTAACCTGGGACTAGGCTCTGCAGGTTTGCAGGGGGCGGGGGGGGAGTCAAGAAAGGGGTCAAACAGGAAAAAGAATTTAGGCGAGCGAATCGAGTTGAGCGGTGAATTGGGGAAGAGAGAAGGGCGGCGGAGCCTCAGCCACCCTTTCCCAGGCCTGACCGCTGGAGACCCTCATCTCTCGGCTTCCTTTACGCTCCTATTTTTTTCTTTTTTTTTGGTTATCAAAGCGGACATTTAATTTTCCATTTTTCCCCCAATGCGGAGCCTGGTCCCAGCCTAAGACAGCTCATAGAGCCATCATTAAAACGGTTTTATATAACATATGCAGAAGAGAAAGGAAAACAGGTTCACAGCTTCTTGGGGCGGCTATATAAAATTAATAACAAAAGAAGAGTTTGAGAACGCTTGTGTACTAGTGAGTAATGGAGTAATCCTCATTATTAATTGATCTCCCAAGGTATCTTCTCCCATCTCATACACTACAATGCCCCGCCAAAGTGCAGAAATGCACCGTCAAGGGATGTGGAGAAACGCTCAGGAGGAAGGACAGGAAAAAGCACGAGGATGAAAATATGTCCCGCCACTACAGCCTCCTTAAAGAGGAAAACGAACGCATTCTTTGGAGTGCCAGCAAAATGGTGAGTTTGCCCGAAATGCCATGAAGAATTTTATTGTTAGGAGACATTTGAAGGAAACCTCTTAACAGAGTCTCTGGAGTGAAATTATAGTATCTGTAACCCGAATTGTTTTGTTACAATTAGTACAAACTTAAAAACAAGAAGCTGAATAAATAACCTCATTACATAGTCATAGAACCATTGCGATCGGCGCTGTAACATGTATTGAATGCTTGGAAAGAAATTATAGCATAAGTTGTCAGACAGGCAGACGGATGCGGTCATTAAGTCAAACAACCTGAAATTCGCGAAATACGAAATAAACATTGCTAAGTACCCAAACTAAGCGTGAAAAAAGATAGCCCTTACACAACAACTGAAAGTCGTTGCTAACAAGACAATTGACTTTACTCGTTCGTGGACTGGTTTCTTCAGACTTTCCAACGGGAAATTTTGAGAAAAAGACGTAAAAACAACTTACAACAAAGCTTGAATAAAGCTTTCTGAAGCCATTTTAAGTATTTTGAGTGATTGCTGGGAAAAATTTATCTGTTCCTCACTCCCCGCGCAGAAAAAAAAAAGAAATTTGTTTGTAAGAAACGTAAACTTGCTTTTTGCGAAAATTTAAAACGTTGGGGGAACGTTACGTCCAAAATTTTGTTTCGAGGAACACTCGCGTCATTCTCATTTCTGAAGCTTTGATTAAAACGAAAACGGATTACGACTCTTTTTTCGCATTTGCCTATGGATCACAATGAAGTTCTTCGTTGCCAGATTGTTGCAAAAAGAAAAAAAAGGTTCGCTGTTTTAGCCGACAGTGTACGTAGAGTTGCAATGCACCTTGGAAACTCCTCGAGTTCCCCTTATGTTTTTTCGTGCTTTCATCTAAAAACAAGCATAACAATTGTCCTGCTGATATGGTATTTCATCCAAGAAAGATGTTGTTAACGCCTCCTGTGGTACTTTTTTTCACAGAAGTGGCTTCATGTTAAGACAGGAAGAACAGGTGAGGCGGGAGCATACACATGGAGTATCCCGAACTGCTACGGCGACATATGTTCGCCAAGCTTTGAGATGTGGGGCCGTAAGTGGCGACTGTTCTGCATAAGACGAGGAGGCATCATCCACTACGGCCTTGAAAATGAAGAGGAGACAGGCCTATCCACTTGTCAGTGAGGTACGTTTGCATGCAGCAAATTCTTAAAGGGACACACCGTCCTGTCCGAAATTTATATTATACTCTGTAAACCTTAAGTGGCGCAGTGGGGGCTAAGGGGATAAAGGATGGGAGTGGGACGTCTGTGTTGCGACCTTTTCAGCTAACTCGTTTTTCTCTTTGCAGTTTCATGGTCGAGAGCAGCAGTGAGGGTAAAGAAGTATATAACATACCCCTTTTGGAGTTTAAGAAGGGACAGATGACCGAGCAAACTAAGACGGGCAGTATGCCTAAAGCCATAACGGTCAATATGGCATTGTTAGGGCCGAGCTTTACTAAAGATTCATAATTTCTCTTTCTAAATCTATATAGTGAAATCGATTTAAGACCTTGTTAAATGAAGCTTAAATCGAACAGGGGGCGCGGTCCTTCACTTGATATTTGGATTTCTCTTTATTCACGTCTAGTCACTCCTGGTAGATGATAGATGATAATTGCTTTTGGGAAATGTACATAATAACCTAAATATACTTGAGTACATCCGTCCTCTCTCTGTATTCTATAAAAATGAAATACCGTAAATCCTCTTCTAGCCACCCCATCTTTAAGAACAACCCCTTTTCCCCCAATTATTGTTCACTAATAAATGTTAATTTATTGGGATCAATCAACCACAAATGTAAAACTTGGAAGTTCGGTTTGATTCGGATTGTCGGCTACATGACCTCCAACTTTCTTTTACTTGAGTTTTTCTACTTTGCGGTCTAGTCCCTTTGGAGAATATATACCATCTTGTTATCTAAATTAAATAACCCCCACTCCCGTCTCTATTAAGCCCCTCCTCAAGTGAGCCTCCTCAAGGGATTTACGGTATTAACCTAACTGTTTGGCGTTTTGAAAAGGTTTTGCTTGGTTTTGACCCCCAAGGATTGGAACTTCGCCTGGGCGCAAACTGGGTGGATATACTTTTCTTATTTTGGCCGTCTGGCTTCCAGAAATGTGTGGAAGATCAAAGTTTTGCGTTCTAGTGTTGCCTAAAATATGCAAGTGAAGAACAAAATAAGAAGAAATGTACATTTCAGGCACATTGCTCGCTGGGCGCAATTATTAGACAACGGCAGTGCGATCTCGTTCTTTGAACTTCTTTGTGACAATTAATTCAAACCAGTTTCTGCCAAAAAAAGGCGGATATTACTAGGGGTGAAATCATAGTGAACGAGATAGGAAAAGACAGTCCTTCCTATTCGTGTAACGTCAAGAATCAAACTGTGAATTTATTTGATTTTTCGGTTATTATTTATTATTAGCAGATTTCAATAGTTATAACAGATTTTGCCTTTGGTTTTCATCTGTATTGTGCACTGAGTGTAAAAGTGCCAATTTAAAAGTCTTCTATACCTTTTAGACTTTAAAATAGAGATAAGTTTAGTTTTCGTCCACATGTATTTTTCGGAGTGGTAAAAGTGAGTGTTCCGAAAGAAGTACTTTGAGACTAATAAAACAGAGTCATAATTAGACGTCACAATGTCAAGGGGACGTAATTTTTCAAAACGTCTTATTACAACGATGAATATAATTATATTTAAAAATTAATTTACGACCCAGTCTTAATTATCATATGGACTCCATAAATCAACTTATTTAAATAGACTTACAATCGATCAATTTGACTGAATATCGGCATTAGCGAAATCGATTTAACCATAAATATACTAAGCCTTAAATCAAAACTAAATTCAACCAAATTCAACGAAATCTTAAATCGATTTAACCTTAATTTAACTAAATAAGTCTTAAATAGATTTAAGCTTAAATTGATTATTTTACGACTAAGTCTTAAATCGATTTAACTGTAAATAAGTCTTAAAAGTCTCTAAGTCTTAAAACGATTTAAGAAATAAACGACTAAGTCTTAAAAAGATTTAAGCTTATATCGATTTAAGCTTATATAGATTTAACGACTAAGTCTTAAAAAGATTAAGCTTAAATCGATTTAAGAAATAAACGACTAAGTCTTAAAACGATTTAAGCTTATATCGATTTAAGCTTAAATAGATTTAACGACTAACTCTTACAACGATTTAAACTTAAATCGATTTAAGCTTAAACAGATTTAACGACTAAGCTTAAATCGATTTAAGAAAAAATGGATTTAACGACTAAGTCTTAAAACGATTTAAGCTTAAATCGATTTAAGAAATAGACTAAGTCTTAAATCGATTTAAAGGTTAAATCGATTTAAGCTTAAATCGATTTAGGAAATATACTAAATCTTAAATCGATTTAAGCTTATATCGATTTAAGAAATAGACTAAGTCTTAAATCGATTTAAGCTTATATCGATTTAAGCTTAAATAGATTTAACGACTAAGTCTTAAAACGATTTAAAGCTAAAGTTATGTATTTTTATTAAAAAATTATATAATGCTGTTTGTTTTCATTATGCCAGCCGCCGATAAATATTTTTACCCCGTTAAATAAATTTACGTAGTTACGTATTTTTATTTATTAAATTTATATAACACCCTACGGCCAGCTGCTGATAATGATCCGTAAGTGTAGTAGCTGATAGTATCTGTAGTAGCTGTAGTAAGTGTAGTAATTGTAGTAAGTGTAGTAGCTGTAGCATCTGTAGTAGCTGTAGTAAGTGTAGTATCTGTAGTAGCTGTAGTAATTGTAGTAAGTGTAGTAGCTGTAGTAGCTGTAGTAAGTGTAGTATCTGTAGCTGTATTAAGTGTAATAGCTGCAGTTAGTGTGGTAACTGTAGTATCTGTAGTAGCTGTAGTAAGTGTAATAGTTGTAGTAAGTGTAGTATCTGTAGTAGCTGTAGTAAGTGTAGTAGCTGATAGTATCTGTAGTATGTGTAGTAAGTGTAGTAAGTGTAGTATCTATAGTAGCTGTAGTAAGTGTAGTATCTATAGTAGCTGTAGTAAGTGTAGTATCTCTAGTAGCTACTACAATAACTACACTACAGCTACTACAGCTATTACAATTACTACACTTACTACAGATACTACACTTGCTACAACTAGTACACTAACTAGAACTACTACAGATACTACACTTTCTACAGCTACTACACTTACTACAGCTGATACAGTTGCTACAGCCAATACAGTTACTACAGTAACTACAGCTACTACGCTTACTACAACTGCGACAGTTACTACAGATACTAGACGTACTACAGCTGCCAAAGCTACTACACCATGGGCTCCTGACTACACTTACTGCAGCTACTACAACTACTACACTTACTACAGCTGCGAAGTGAAATGGAAGTCTTTTACGATGCGAACACCATGTTTAAGTCCACACGTCCTGTCGACACTTTAAACCGTTGTTGATTTCACAATTCTTTATGTGGTTTAGACTGCGAGAAGCCTCTCTTTTAGTAAGGGGAGTGCACGCACGCGCGAGCGTTGAGCGGCGAAGCCGCGAGATGCGAGAAACGAGGGCGGCGGCCTTCAGTCACGGGTGTGGTCATTTGCCTGTCTCGGGCGTTTTGCTCGACAGACCAAGAAAAAAGAGAGACCGCTGGTAGTCTATATGTGGTTTGGCTCTCATTTCACTGTTGGTGTCACGCGCCGGTTGTTATTATCGTCTCGCGTTTCATTGTTGGCTATAATAACTAGTAATAGTCGACACTACAGCTTTCCCCGTTCTGTATATTGTATTGTCGGTCAATAGTATTCTTGGTCGTTGTGTAGCTCTCTGAAATATACCGATTCATAATGAAGATTTTCACACATATTCCATTAAGGCTTCTTTAGGCAAATGTAAACTGATTCAGGTACGACATTTATCTACACAACCGTTCAAAGCAGTAGTTCAAACTAAAATCTGAAGAAAATGTCATATTTTTTCATTTTTGCCCCAAAAGTGCACGTACGCGAGTTTTTTCCCGCCATATTTTTCCTGCCGATTTTGAAGGTTTTCTATTTTCGTATTTTTGCCGTTTTCTTTTATTTTTTCTACTCTTTCACGAAAATGAAGCCTAAACTGTTTGTGCTTGAGCTCAGTCATCTTATTGCTACGGTATTCTGACCATTCAGTCAAAGAAATGGGTAAATTGTTGAAGAAGTCTGAAGGATGAGTGAACAAGTGGTCAAAAGTAAAAACCTCAGAAGACAATCCAAGGAGTAGATCAGGTAGATAGCCGGTTTTTGTTACAAACTGCGTGAGAAATGTTATCGAAAAAAGCTTTACATATATGCGTAATAATTCAACAAGACAGAAAGACTTCAACTTCACAAAATTAAAATTTCGAGCACAACGGTATGGAGATATGTGACCAAAAGAGGTTGGAAAGCCTTGAAGAGGAAAAAGGCGGTGCACACTTCATGCAGGCATGGTATCAAAAGAATTTGCAAACTTTGTACCAAAGTACGACCTGCCGGCAAACGCATGTGACTTGAACACTCTAGAGACCATCTGGATTATGGTTGATGGGACAACATACAAAGATCCAGCTCCAAAAATACTGGACGAGCTAAGACAGCGTCTACGCTTCGCCTGGAAAAATGTGAATTTATAGACACGCTTTGGGAGCTCGTACATTCTATACCTCACCGCCTAGAAAATGTCAGAAAATATAAAGGAAGACATTCTGGTTACTAATATTCAAGTTAGTCAATGTTAAATGAATAATGAATAACATGCTTAGTTTTACAAAAAAATAATCAGTGAAATTTAAGCAAAGAAAAAATCGGAACGAACTTTTGAAACACCCTGTATATTTCAAAATAAATACCTTTTTTTGTTTTTTTCTAATGTTCCCGGAGAACTAAGTACTTTATAAAATGGGAAAATAGTGAATTTTCGTTTTAGACCTACTGCATATTCATCAATGTGTTTACTGACCCCCAACATTCGTGTATGCGGGTATCTGATTTGTAGTTTGTGAACCGTCACTCTATTTCTTGGATCATCACCCGTTTCCCCTATATAATTTTAGTCCACATAGATCACATTTGTAGAGGTGAAACTCATTGACGTTTTCACCCGGAATGTCTCACTTGTGGCGGAGAAGGTAAATTAGGGGCAAGTTCTGCATCGCTTTATTCCACAAGTTTTAACTTCCGGTTTAGTGTTGTCTATCTTGGAGAAGTAGGAGTTTGGGAGTATCCATTTCAGGTTTCGAGGCTTACGTTGACTATGTATCACTCTAGTGTTGCTGATAATTGATTTTAGTTGTGAGTTTTGGTTCAACATGGAAAGTGTATTCCTGAGCAGCTGAAAAAAATACTATTGTCTAGACTTCCATTGTGCATAGTTGTCTGTACAAGTGTTTACAAACTTTTGTACTTCCATTTTCTATGTATATGATATTTGGCAATTATTGAATGTGGCTGAGTATCATCTGAATGATTTTGAAGATCGATGAGGGTGTCATGGGTTAAAATCCTCCGAGATCTCCATAATTCTTCTGGTAATACGAAAGCCGAATTCAATGATTGTTTTATAATTATTCATTCAAAACAATTCCTAGTTTTAAAGTTTCGCTCGAAAACATGATGTCTTTACCCGTTAATAAATCGCCTTTATAGGTATGTCCCTAAAGCCTTGCAGTCATGTTAGAAGTTTGTTATATCGAACGTTGGCTATAATATCATGTCATTTCAATAGGGTTTTTTTTTATGAACCTAGACTTGCAAGTCGACTGCGTGAGCTCCGAAGGCGAGCGACGGCAGAAACTGGCCTTTGAGAAATTAAAGTCTACTTAGTCGAACCTAGCGCCCGGTCGTGGCTCATACAGAAAAGAATCCCGTCGACTTGTCCTATAGCTCAACTCATGGCTTTTTTATTTTCGACATTTTCACCAGCGCTCTTGTAATTTTCTAGTAAGGCTGAAGGAGAAATTTGTCGAGAGAAACGAGAGTCGACCATGATTACAAGTTTGAATATTAATGAAGAATGCAAGGGAAAAACCTTTTTCATTTTCGGTTTCGTTTCTTCCCTCGGAAATTTATAAACTGGATGTTAAAAATACCACGGCGTCTAATTTTTTTCTTAACTTATACTACTACGTGAGAAGTTTCTACAATTTGAGTGGCTTAGAGCAGTGGTATTTCAGCTTAATTTGAAATACCTGAATGTGAAAATTTAATACAAACCCTTCGTGGGTAGTAGTATAAACAAATAATAGCATCGGATTTGTTCGTGATATTGGCATAAATACCACTTGTGATATTTCAAAATTGTCTTAAATTTCACTCGCCTAACGGCTCGTGAAATTACGTATAGCAATTTCGAAATATCACTTGTGGTATTTATGCCAAATATCAGTACAAATCACGCTATTACCTATACAACACTGAATCGAATTACTGAAACAGTTATATGTTTTGGGCGAAAAATACAGTTTAAAGTTGCTCTCTTTAAGTGAGGAATATCAAGGAAAAACGCGTTTTTAAAAGTAATAATAGTAAAAACTAAAAAGAATGTCGTAGAAAGATGTTAAGAGCGCCTTGAGTTCATGTGCTCGTCGCTAATTTAATCTACAGAGAATCTATGAAAACAATAGCAAAACGGAAAGAAAGAGGCTTTTACCTGTACTGCCGCTTATGGAGAAAACAAGGAGACAAAAAGTCCAGGCAAATTTACAAAGCATCATGATCATTTGGGCAAAGATCCAAGAGAATGCAGTTTTCCTTTCGCCTTTTATAAAAGGACAGCCACCGGAAGTGAAATGTTCAATTCTTGGAACTAATTAGCATAATAACACAGCGTCGACCCACTAAAAGTTTGGCCACGTCGTTAAATATTAAACGGTGAGTTGGTTTTCTTGTTTTTAATGCAGAAATTGCTTTTCGTACAAGAGTTTCGATCCATTTTACTTCAAGAGACACATTTAAGTGTTTTTAGTGTGGTGTTCTCTCAAGATTGACTCTTATTTTTTTTGCTGTCATGCGTTTTGGGTTCAGTGTTTTGGCGGCAACTGGGAATGAAAACGCAGAGTCCTTCGACACAAGGGCGTCGATAAAACCCGGAACACGGAACATTGCGGGATGATAGTAAAAACTAAAAAGAATTTCAGTCGTAGAAAGATATCATAAGAGCGCGTTGAGTTCATGTGCTCGTCGTTAATTTAATCTACAGAGAATCTATTAGAAAAAACGAAAGAAATAGAAAAACGGAAAGAAAGAGGTCTCTACCTGTACTGCCAGTTATGGAGAAAACAAGGAGACAAAAAGTCCAGGCAAATTCACAAAGCATCATGATCATTTGAGAAGAGATCCAAGAGAGTGATGTTTCCTTTCGCCTCAATGTTACAGCAACCTTTCTGGCTTTGCCAAGGCTGGATTTTAAGTGTCGCAGCTGGAAACTTAAACTTCCCCCAAATCACGTGACTAAGGAAATGACAGGCCGTTTCTCGGTAACCGCTGGTGGCGTTCTAGTATTAACGTAAAATAATTCTTTCAGTAAAATTTGAAAGAACTGTGTTCTTTTGCGAGTATTCGTGCTTGCTGACTGCGTCCTCTGCTCTAGATACGTATGGTATCGACATGGGAAGACAATCTGACCACGATGGTCATGGGATTTATTTAGTTCAAAGATGTCTAATACCGTTCTTAAGGGGCCAATCAAATTCGTAAGTGAAAAAAACAATCATAGTAATTAAAAAGAGGTCGGTACAATACCGTAAAATTCCGAAAATAAGCCCCTCCAAATATAAGGACCCCAAACTCGTAACACAAAAAGCTCTCAGTTAAATCTCCCTCCAAATATAAGCCTCCGGGGGCTTAAGCTCGTAAATTGCCCTCAAATTCAAAAAAAAAAACAGAGCAAAAACTGTACAGTGACAGATAAATTGTCGCATTTCCCAAAGAACTATTACGTGTGCCAAATGATTGTAGTCAAAGAGTGTCACAGTATATTGCTCTTGGCTTGGATTTCCTCATTCCATATAGACAAAGTACTTGCGTGGCTGAGTATTAGTAAAATTTACGTCCTCAAGGCGAGTTTCAGTAAAAAGTTTCTGCAAATTACTGGCATAAATTTCCTTCCAACTATAAGCTAGCCAAATCGATTTTGAGACGTAAATTTCCCTCGCAGTATAAGCCTAGTTGAAACGCAAATTTGCCTCCGCATATAAGCCCCTACGAATATTAGCACCTACAAAAATAAGTCCCTCAAAAAGGGTGTAAAGGACAAGACATAAGAACAATACCTTTTCATTGATTTCGTGATCTTCATGCTTTGATCCTAGTTACTAGCGTAGTTACAATGTTTACCTGATTTTCTATTGGTTTTATAACGAGATTATATTTCGGCGTCCCCACGCGGGTATAAAAGCGCGCGTTAGCGTCCTTTTGGTCAGGAAAAAAGTCAAGTAGGATTCGCGTCGTGACATCATTTTTGTGATTTTGTCTTAACCTTTAGTACAAGCAGGACCGATATGTAAGTGATTTCTTTTGCTTAGTTTCGTTCTTAAGCCAGTGGGCAAAAGTACACGAATGTTACTGTACAAGTATACAGATTTAACTTTAACTGATTTATAACTGTTTCATGAGCGAAAAGCGGATTTGAACGCCTGTTAGAGCAACACCCACACTTTTGCTTTATAGTACAAGAATTAAGATCAGATTTATGGAATTATTGTCTAATTTTAGTTTATGTAGCCTTTAAGTAGATTTTACCGTCTTGTTATCGACCTAGGCTGAGTTGCTCAAAGCATGGTTAGCTTTAACCATTGGTTAAGCAGTATCAAAACCAATACGTTGTCAAGAAATTAAACGCTGTTTAACGCTAACCATGCTTCGAGCAACATAGAATCGCTTTATTACCGTTTTCAAGCTTTAGTTTGTTGATTACGCGTTATTTGTCTTAGTGTCGCCTTTTCGCCAAATTGATAGAGGTTTTTGTAAGGTTATTTCAGTTTACGGTCAATCTTTGGTCTATAGATTTTGGTCTTTGGAATTTGGAATTAAATCACCGTTAACCATCACCTTTGGTTTTCCGTGGTTTTCTTGTTTTGTCGACCCGTAAAATAATCCCTAATCTAACCTGCTGCGACACACCCCTCGAAGTAGCCTGAGTATCAGGCCTTCCTAAGGGCTAGGGGAGAGGAGATTTCAGATGGGGGAGGGGGGAGGGGGAGAAGAGCTCCCTCCCTTTTTCGCTACCATCTTTCCCCTTTTCCCCAGAAACGCCTGATACTCAGGCTACCCTTGAAGTTTCGTTTCTCGTTTGTTTGTTTGGGTCGTCGCCAGCCACAAAGGGCCTTCGAAAAATATAAGCCACGGGGCTTATTTTCGGAATTTTATGGTAACTTACTAATACGGTACACGAAGACATTGGCCAGACTTACTAAACATTGTACCCTTGTGATGCCGGGCCATCTGTAATAAACAACTGTTTCGCCTTGTGAGGTTTCCTGTACATCAGCGTTTGAATCTTCATTGCTTGATGACTTTGTAATCTTTTCGGTGATTGTGTAACACGGTATTACAAATCACAGACATCTCGGTTTGACGCTGAGAACGATAATCACTGTCGGTTATAGTTGCATACGGAAAAATCCTCTAGACAGCTAAAGGGAGCTTAATTTCCTTTGGAGCATTCCACACTGCCCCCAGATAGATGCTTCCTTTTAAAGAATTCGCAAGCGCCCTGACCACGTTCTCATTCTCCTTATCCTGAAACTTATACTTTAAAATATGACTATAATAACCAGCCTTGTCGCAAGAAACTAGGTTACTTGGTCCTGCGATGAACTTACGTTTTTAAACCTTTAACTACAATACATGTTTGGGCGGCAAAACTGTCGGACAAACCTGATAATTTTTCAGTCGAACAGTTTCGACGTCGGAACATTACTTACGCACCTTTAAATTTTTTAGAGTATTTATTCAGTTCGAAAGCAAAGTTACAGAGCATCTCCAAAAGAGGCAGAAGTTAAACTGAAACTGTTCAGAATATTTTAATTTTTTTCTGATAATATAATAAAGAATTTCATAGGTTATGTAATTAACTTTCCAGGAATTACGAGCGCCAGTTGTCACCAATATTTCTGCCTCGTCTCCAGTCGCTCGCGATCACTTTTTGGGGGACATTTGAGTTAATTATTAAGGAAAGCGGGGATCACAAAACTAAAGGATTAGGCGTTACTGATTAACGCCGGTAAATGTTATCACGGTTCCCTTGCGTTTTATCTCGACAAACTTAAAGGATTTATTAGACAAACACTGCCCAATCATTAAATCAAGGATTTTTTAATCCTTGATCAATATCTATTACCTTTAGACTTATTTAAGTACGAACAACAGTATTCAAAAACACTTTTTTATGAAACAGAAAATAACATCTTTCGCTTTCTGGAAAGTACATGAAATTGTTATAAATTCCTAACTCTTATTACAGTATGTAAGAATTTAAAAATGAACACCTATTCCTTCACAAACAGATTAAGTGCAACCAGTAAAATAAAGTCACTAACGTATTATGTCTTTTTTCATATACCCTACTCTACCGTGCAGGGAACGAAAACGCGTCAGTAGCAGCTTAACGTATAACGCAACAATAAATTAAAGTTTCTTAAATCTAAGTTTATATATCTCGCTTGCTCTGTTACAATAACTTAATTCGACACCGCTTTCTGTGGTAAATCGTCTCTCATGAGCCGGGCGGGAAATCATATGCCCAAATAAGGCAAGTTTCCAGTGTAATCGACAGGTACGACGTTGTTTTTGTTACCAGACTCCTGTCAACACTCCGCCGCACCAACCAGGGGAGAGCTGGGTAAGAATGAAGACCGGGGATGGTCTGAAATTCTAGGCGGAAAAACGTAATGAGCATGCGCGAACGTTTTTGCCCAGATCCCCTGGCCGGGTTTGAAAAAATGGCGGGATTTCAAAGATTTTATTGCCTAAAAATAAAATGTTTCCACTCATAACCTGGAAAGAACAGGCAATTTGTCTTCAAAAGTTGCAAGCTGTGGTTATAACCTTGTCGTAAGTAAATTTTCTCGAAGAATACCTCATAGTAAAACGGACTTTAACGACATTGATTTCCTTGCGTTGTACTGGAAATGTGCGTGCGTAGGTCCGATTTTTTTCGATGCATTCACAAAATGTGCTCATATAAGGAAGTTCCTTGATATATAAGGTCCGGAGCTCCACTGTGGACACAAAAACAACATATCTTTGGACAGTGATTTGCCCAAAAAAATTAACGCTTGCCCACAATGTGTTTGAAGTCACTGAACTTTGTCGCACTCGAGCTGATATTTTAAACCCGTCGCTCGATCGGACACTCGTAGTTTCGCAGATCACTAAAATATAAACAAAATCCTCAATGTAGCAGTTATTGCGTTGCCTTTATGGGGGCAGAAAAAAGGTCAATCTTTATCTAGTAAAATCTTCCCAAAAATCGGTTTCAAAGCAACTATAGTTTTTTAAACTTGCTCATTTCGCTCAGATATATAAATTTTGCTTTGTGTTGTCAAGTTGAACACGCATAACATCTGTCAAAAACCTACGCGTAAGTAGGATATCCTTCAAACAAAGTTAAAGTTACATTATTTCAAAAACTTCTTGCTGACAATGAAGAAACGAATTTTCTGTACGAAAACAACTTACCTAAAGATCTTAAAAGCAAAAGATCAGTTGCAACTTGGCAGCCAAGCCAT